GGGGACTCAAACTCGAGGCTGGAATAAGCAGTTCATCGACGAGAGGGGAACGTTCTCCCCCACCCCTCCCCCCCTCCCGGTGGCAAGACAACGCAAGGCCTCAAACCCCAATAGGCGCCTTTAATGTGGTCTAACAGACTACAATCACAATGGGACAGAAACCGATGTTGCCAGTTTTGTCTCTAAAGTCAATAAGAGACTGAGAAATGATTTTTTTATGTTGAAAGTTTTCCTTACCTCAGCTCCCACCAATTTGATGTAGCATTCGACAGCTTTCGAACCGATGGAGTTGGAACGGAAGAGGAGAGAGAGATTATCTGAAATAAAGAAAAATTAATTCATTCTCTAATTGTGGAGATTTTGAAGCAGTTTCGAGTCTTAACACCCACGCCCCCCCGCCTCCCCCCCTTGAGTGGGGTCACCGTTGTGGAGAATGCGAAGACGTCGCCGGTATTATTGTAAGTAAACTCCTTTGAGAGGTGATCCAAGCCTCTGACAATCATAAAGAGTTGCTCGAAAGTGCCCACCACAGCTCGCAATCCATTCATCTCGCCTTCTTTGGTTGGGGAGTCTACACGAAGATGACTGCAACATCTCAAGACCTCCACTTTGGCAGTATTCAGGAAGAGGGGAAGGTTGTGCGACTTTGGCTTGTCCTGCAGACCATTCCCCACAGACACGGCCAAGATGAGCACCAAAGTGACCACCAATTGTTATAAAAGCAGTCGAACAAACACCTCATCCGCAATGCGAGACCGTAAAGGAGGGTAGAGAATAAAGAAAGAAAACTGATCAACCACACATTCGCCTCTGTTCTCTTTCCAGTCTGCTTTTGCGATTTCGCCAATGGGACGGCGGTAACCACAGCTGTGTGTGTGTGTGTGTGATGAAAGGTTAGGCGTAGCCACACCTCCACTCATACGCACATCCCTACTTCAACTAGCCTGGAAGCAGTGCAGGTGGTGCAATCATCTCTACCCACGAGATGCAATCTTTGACAAGTGCATTGTTTCGTCGTGGTAGAATGGTGGTCATTTTGGTGTTCACCTTGACCTCAGCTACGAGGATTGGTCGGTGTGTCGAGTCTGAGCCCAACCGCCTCTAATTGGCTAATGGAAAGCCTCCAGACCTCTCACTCCTGGCACCGGAAAGCCAACCCAACCTTGTCACAACTCCCAGTCTGGTCTCTGCAGTGGAGACGAGGAGGGCATATGCATCGAGAGCGAGAGAGAGATAGATTGATAGATAATCTCGAACTTCTCGATGACAGAAGGGGTTGAGAAGAACGCCCCTCTTCTCATCAAGCGACACCATCGTGAAACTATCAATTCAAAGTTTCTTGCATTCATCTTGCTCGTGGATGTCAACAATGACACTTCCCTGACTCCTGTCCTCTCTCCCTCCCCACAGAGGTGTGCCACGTCATGCTTGAGGAGGTGTTGGAAGAGGAACAAGATTCCCCTTGTAATGTGTCGACACATTTCGCCAAGTTTGAATACTCGTACACGGCGGGAAGCGGAGGCTGTTGGTGCTTTGGCATGACACGCAGACCAGTTCACTTGACCACAGGCAAATTAAAGTACCCGAAATGACCGTCCATCATCACAAAGGCACTCTGTCATATTCATGCACAAATTAAAATCTCCTCTTCTTCCCCACTCCTCTTCCACCTTCGACTATCAACTATAAATATGCCACCACTTTAAAAAAAAAAAATTTATCAGCATTGCGTGCTTAGCAGTATTAAACACGCAAAAAAAAGTTTTTTTTTTGCGTAGAAGAGCTAGCTAACTCAAAAGGGAGGCCAAAAGTGGGCAAAGCCATAACTGCTGCTTACGAGGCATAAACCTCGCATTTCGTCCCACCACCTTCAACAAGGCCTGCGACAACCAAACAGGCAAGAAAAAGAAAGCAAAAATGCAATTGAAGTGGATTGAAAGAACTCACCAGAGGTGTTCAATTCGTGGTCCACAAGCGGTGCAAGGAATGCGGCAATTTTACTTTCTGGTGCTTTTTCATGAATGTTAACAAGGCAACGAGCTATCTCCTCCTTCCTTTTCGTCGGTAGCAGGGGCTCCAAGTACTGCACAAATGCAGTAGACTTTCCCACCACCAGCTATAAAGGGCAGAACAAAGAAGACAATTTACTACTGTCCTAATACAAAGAATGGTGCAAAAAGGACTTGTACACTTCAGCACCTCCATAAACAACGTCCAGGAGCTACAGTGAACTCGACTTTTGCATTGCGCCTTACAAGGGTGAGAACAGTACGTCAACCTCCAAGTCCAAC